CTGTGTGTCTGTGTGTCTGTGTGTCTGTGTGTCTGTGTGTCTGTGTGTCTGTGTGTCTGTGTGTCTGTGTGTCTGTGTGTCTGTGTGTCTGTGTGTCTGTGTGTCTGTGTGTCTGTGTGTCTGTGTGTCTGTGTGTCTGTGTGTCTGTGTGTCTGTGTGTCTGTGTGTCTGTGTGTCTGTGTGTCTGTGTGTCTGTGTGTCTGTGTGTCTGTGTGTCTGTGTGTCTGTGTGTCTGTGTGTCTGTGTGTCTGTGTGTCTGTGTGTCTGTGTGTCTGTGTGTCTGTGTGTGTGTGTGTGTCTGTATCCACCATAACTCATGAACCGATACAAAGAAAAACACCAAATTTTACACTTAATCTTTATTCCGGCGTCCAATGAACTGATTAAATTTTGGGCAGAGTCGAAACTTCTGTGGGGGTACTTTATTAATAGTAATTTTTATATTTTATAGAATATATCTGTTATTTACGTTTGGAGAAGAAAATTTTTCAAATAAAAGTTACTTAAAATATTATTGTCAATATTTTTTGTTCTTTACAAAATTTTCCTAAAATGGTCCGTATTCGAGAAATTGGACAAAATCTAAAAAAATAATTTTTTATAAAAATTGTTCAAATAAAAGTTGTTTATGATATAATTCTCTATAATTTTTATCCCATACATAATTTCTCTAAAATGGACCGTATTCGAGATATTTGAAAAAATAGAAAAATTGAAGGAAAAGTGCTTAATTTAAATTTTTCAGTGTTTTCGTTTTCCATATCTATAGAAAATCTTTCGAAACAGATGTATGTGGAAAATGTATATATTTAGTTTATCCTCTAAACATTTATAGAGGTGCTACAATAGGTTATACAAAATAACCGGAAAAAGCCTGTAATAACTAGATAGGAAAGTCATGTGTTGGACACATCAGATTTTTTAATTAGTTATTAGTCGTTATGATTAAAACAAGCCAAGCTAGTTTTAATAGTTATTTATTATACAAGGGAAAAAAGTATTAGATTTTAGCTCAAGCGGAGGGAGACAAAAACTTCCAATTTCTAGAATATGCCATGTTTTTAAAAATGATAATGAGAATGATATACCCAATTATCTTCTCTTGACAATCTTGAGTAACTTCCAGAGATAACAGGTGAAGCACATATCCCAGGGAGAGAAAAGCAAATCAATAAGAACAAACCCTACTGGAGAAAACCATAGTAGAAGAGATGTTCATTGCATGGGAGCATAAACCCCAATTCGGAGGCATCCACTTTCGACCAGGAGGAATCGTCCTAATTGAGTGTGAAAGCCCATAGTCGGCAGAATGGCTCAGGGCAAAAATCTCACAACTGAACAACTGAAAAGGATTGGAGAAAAGACACCAATCAAAAAGGTGAGCAACTTTTGTAGTATATTTTTAATGGAAACCTTATTGTGCACAACATTGGGAATACTCCCATATTTGTAGCAAGGGTAAGAAGTAAGGTATTAGATATCACATTAAATACACCGAGCATAAAATATCTAGTTACTAACTTGAGAGTATCGCCTGACCCATCTCTATGTGATCAGAGGATAATTGTGTTTAAGTTAGAGAGCGACAGACTGGGCCAAACACCACTAGCTCTGGAAAACGATCCCGAAGAATTAAATGAGGCAATACTTGAGGCTTATGAATCAAACTGTCCCATTCAAACAAATAGAACTAGTAGGAATGCTTCTTGGTGGAACAGTCGTTTGTCAAACTTATGATTTGAAGTGCAGAAACTCTATAACAGGACCAAGCACAGTGGAGATTAGCAGAGTTACACCGAGGCACTTACCATCTACAATAAAGAAATCAGCAAAGCTAAACGCAACAGCTTCAGGAAATTCTGCGAGGATATTAACTCTACACCTACGGCAGCAAGACTACACAGGGCCCTGACAAAAGGGGGAGTGGATACAGCTATGCCTCTAAAGAAACCCAATGAAAGCTTGACGGAGAGTGAGGAGAAAAGACATTATGCAGTAAGTAGCATTTGGTTAAAGTGGACAGTTGAACAGTTTAAAACCGTTTAAATCTCTAGAAGTGGATGGAATATTTCCTGCCCTGCTTCAGCGGGCACAAGAGGAATTACTTCCACACATAATCCGGATATCCCGGAGCAGTATGGAACTGGGTGTATGCCAGAAGCATGGAGAGCGGCCAGAGTCACCTTTATTCCAAAAGTAGGAAAAAAGGATACCACACATCCTAAATACTTTCGACCAAGCAGCCTCATATCCTTTATATTAAAAACAATGGAAAAGCTATTGATAATTGTATCAGAACAGAAATCCAGGAGATAGTGATACTTCACCACAGCCAGCACGCGTACAGGGCAGGAATATCTACAGAAACTACCCTGGTACAGCTGACTGAAGAAACGGTCGTGTGTGCCTTCTTAGACATAGAAGAAGCATTTGACAACACTCCACACGAATCTAACAAAAGAGCACTTACATACAGATGAGTAGATAGCACCACATCCAGATGCATAACATAGCTGCTATCTACCAGAACTACAGAGACATATTTAGGACAGGACACCATCTCCATCTGCACAATCCTAGGATTTCCAGAAGGAGGAGTTATATCCCCACTAATGTGTAGCCTAATCGTAGAGGAACTTCTATTCAGATTGTCTGACCTCGGCATACTCTGTCAAGGTTATGCCGACGACATAATCATATTTGCTAGAGGCAATTTTGGAAATAGCCTATGAGATATAGTCCAAAGAGGGCTAAACCACACCAGAAGATGATGCCGCAAGGTGAGATTACAAAGACTTACCTGTGTTTGCATCACTAAGAACTTGTTCTACGGTGATTTTAGACCTCCCCTCTATATTTAATGATAGAGAATGTGACAAAAAGGACACAATATAGAATTATTAGGAACGGATTAATCAGTCGAAAGTCTATTAGCTTTATAGGTACCAAAGATATTTGGGATATGTCCTAGGATGAAATTAAGTACAGTTTGGTAAAAAACTTCAAAACCACAAAGCAAGAAAGTATGGAGCTAAGAATTCATCATGCTTGCACCCGAAAGCATGCTATTCAGTGATATACGGATGGTTTCAAAACCATAGAAAGAACTGGAATAGAAGTATATGGGCCTAGAACCAGACACTCAAGGCAAATACCCAAGCATCTTTCAGGCGGAAATTCAAGCCTTGCAGAAGTGTATCCAGTTTAACAACGAGCGAAACCGTCGCAGACAAGAGATTATCATCATGTCCGATAGCAAAAGCAGCCATCTAAGCAATGAGCTCTCTTACATATTCAGCTCAAAAATGGTATGGAGATGCCTAAAAAAAAAACTAAATGAGCTAGGCGAGGAAAATACAGTTACCTTATTTGGATCAGGGGATATAACGGGGTAAAGGGTAACGAGATTGCAGATAGTCTAGCAAGGAAAGGGGCTCAGACACCCTTTGTGAGGCCTGACCTGTTCTGCGATATCAGTACAATATTAGGTGAGATTAACAAAGAATTGGGCAGTAGAAAAACCAATACTTGGAACAATCTCTTAGTGCTAAGACAGGCTATGATACTTCTGGATGAACCAGGAAAGATCAGAAGCCCGTATCTACCTGAGCAAGAACAGGCTACACATTGTAACAGGGATCCTTATTAGTGGCGTACCCAGATATTGTTCTTGGGGGGGGGGATAACAAAATTGAACATGGAACAAATTTTTATTATAAATTTGAATATTCTATTTTATCTAACAAAATATAGTCCCCTAGTCCAGGAGCTGAACCATATTACCGTTTTTAAAGTACCGCGAAAATTCCTAACAACAATTTTAAGACAATTTAAATTTTTACTTTTAACACATGTATGTATTTGATTTAGTAATTATTATAAAGCAATTTAGAGGTCTTTTAATTTTTTGTTATGATCACTTATCACTTTGATGATGTGTTCGAGTTTGCGGACGTGCAGGGACTTCCTGCGGGAATATATCACCATTATGGTTATAGTAAGAGAGCCCACTGCAAATTACGACCGCCATCTGATAACAAAATGAAATATGCTCCAAAGACATGTACCAACATTGTACTTTACCAAATTGCACCTGTGCCAATCTCTAATCCTGAGCAAAGTGGTTAAAAAAAAATTATTTCATATTAAAAAAATCACATAAGACATGACAGCGATAATTGTGTTTTCCCTGAAAATGAAAATCCTAATTCATTGTGAACCTAGCTTTTGAACCTGAATTATTATTTTACCTACCTTTTGCAGAGATAGTCAATAATATTTATAAACTCTTGTTAGACAATTCTTTTAAACCATATTAGTAGTTTTTTTGTCGTTTCTAAGGAAACCTGTAAAAATGAATCACAACAATAGGCATACAAATTTTTAAATCAACAAAAATTGATTCATATTTTTAATAATTTTTACCTACTAATCGTGTGTAGATGTTTTTGTGCGATGTTAAGAGGAAGAAAATGTTTCCCGTTAACGATATATATCAAGATATATTTGAATATGTTATTATCTGGAAAACTTTAAGGGCAAACAAAATTAGTGCTGTCATGCCTTATGTAATTTTTTTAATATAAAATATATTTTTTTAACCCCTTTGCTCAGGATTGGGATTGGCACAGGTACCATTCGGTAAAGTACAATGTTCTTACAAGCTTTTGTGATATATTTTATTTCATTATCAGATAGCGGTAAAAATGTGCAGTGGGCTCTTAAGCTATTATGATTGATACTGTATGCGCCAGGGATACAAATCCGAGTTGCGCAATGTATAAACTGGAACATTGATATCAAAAGTGTCGACGCAGAGTGAGCGAACTGATTCTTTAGCTATAAACTGTGACTATACATAATTTGAAGTTTGTCATTTAGACAGATCACAGTCTCTCAGTCAAAGCTCATCGAGCTCATACATTTTAATAATTGACGTTCTTGCAAGCGGGTGTATTTAAATAACTATTATTTTGCATATTAATTTTATTAATAAGTTGGACCACATGATAATAATTAACAAAAATATCTGATGCAGTTTAAGCTTTCTTCTTTGCGTTGGCCTGTTGTTTAGCTTGAATCTCGGCTTGCTCCTCAAGTAACATTTCTACAGCTCTGAGTCTCTTCCTTACAATAGGAACTTTGGTCCACCATTGTTCAAAGGATTCTTCCTCCTCTTTATATATTGGTGTCCTCTTGCACAAAGCATTTACAAGTTCCAATGGACTTAAAGAATGAATACGCAGTTGAAGTGTTCTTTTAACTGTCATTACTTCTTGGATACTACTAATGATAGAACCTAAAATTATAGATGAATAAACAGGATGCTAAGAATAGAACCTAAAATTGTAGATTAATAAACAGAGATAAATTTGGGGAGTGAATAATCTATATTACAGTATTTTATACTGTTTAGGATTGGTAAGGTTGTGAGATAGAAAGATTGCTTGTAAGTTTTAATGGTTATAATTAGTGAAATTGAAAGGTTGTTAAACTAAAAGCTCATAACCTCGTTTATAAAGAAGAAAATAACGAAATTCGAGAGATGCAAAATTGGTAGATACCATCTTGAAAGAAACGAGAAACGAGAGACGAAGAGAAGTATTAAGTTGAATTTTCAGATTTGTCAAGCATTATGGTTACTTAGGCTAAGGAACGTAAAATATCTTCACATTGTTAGCCCTGGTTTTTAAGAAACATTCCATGTCGCCTTTTAATTAGAGTTTTCAAATTGTTAAAATAATTTATATAAAATTATTTGGGCTCTTTACTCCTTAAGCCTGTCCATGTAAAATGATTAGATTCTTTACCCTTTAAGTCAGCCCATGTGAAAATATTTGGCCAATTTACCTCTTCAGCTTGCACGTTAAAAAATATTTGGCCCCTCTACTTTATACGCCTGCCCAAGTAAAAAATACTGTGCCCCTTTTCCTCTTAAGCCTGTTCTTGCAAAGATAATTCATCATTTTAAAACTTAAGACTGACCATATCATCATATTTGGACCCTTTATCCATTAAGCCTTCCATATAGAAATATTTGGTTTCTTTACCACCTACGCCAGTTTATATATAAATATTTGGGCCTGTTGATGAAAAACATTTTAATCCACAGTACCACCCCCAATATTCGTAACATGAACTAATTTTGATAGATGTCATTTATATGTCATAAATTAAGAATCCTTTTGTTCAACAGATGGAGCAATATTCCATATTTAATAGTTCTTTTGTTCAACAGATGGCGTAATAATTTTATTAATTTTAAACGGTAATTGTTATAAAATAACGAATTCATCACCCCTAGCCACTACGCGATGATACGTAAACGAGTTCTTGACCTTGCAAATATTTTCGATGTAGCAGGTATAAAAATAATATTTTGGATTACATTCGGAATATCGGTATATTTACTTAGTAGTTCATTCTTGTGTCCAGTCAACAAAGGATAAAGGTCTTCGTATCATTACGTAGGGACCTATTATACCATACATGGTGTTTCGTTAAGAATGGGACATAGAACAACTGACGATTCTCTGAATAAAATAAGACAACTAAACAAATCATGTTTAGATAAAATGTTTCTCGTTTCCGAATTACGGTGTTAAAATCCAAAAAATATTTATGGCTATATTTTTTTATTACTCACAAGAATTTTACTAAATTTGGCAAACGGTTTTGATGTTATAATATCCACCTATCAGCAAAAAATTAGTTACCTGCTTTAATTAACTTTTCCAGGGGCGTACAGCATTGGTACGTAATACGGCATCCCTTCTAAATTTTACGTCACTATCCAAAAAGTTATTTAGACATAAAATTTTAAATTTTTTGATGTTTTTCAAATAAATAATGTACTCTTTTTAGAAATTTAATAAAAAAAAATCAAAATTTTGGACAGTGGACTAAAATTTAGAAGGGAAAAAGGTGTTACTTGCCCATGAAGTATGCCACTGGCAAAGCTTATTTAACTTATTTTTTTTGCTGATAGGTGTATTTTATTACACCAATAACGTTTGCCGAATTTAGTAAAATTAAACTGAATAACAAAAAAAATTGTAGCTGTTTATAATTTTTGATTTTCGAGTAATGTTTTACCTACGGATGTTTCGTTTAATCGGCTTATTTCTGATCAGTTAATCTTCAGTTGCTTCCATTCGTAATGGAATACCCTGTATATACCGAAAGGTCTTGCAGCCAATGAATCAAATAAAAAAAAAGAAAAATATAATAAAAAAGTGTTTTTATTACCGTATTTACCCACAATACTTTATATAGATCTGCATCAGTAAAAATTATTTTCAACAAATTTAATCTCATTTATATGTAGTATGTTTGTGTAACTTGGCGGCATACGGAAAACTTTTTTAAGAATTTTAAGAAAAAAATCTTATTTTTCATAAACAATTGAATGGTCTATTAATTTTAGAAAAAAAGTTACTTTACATAAAAAGTTATGCATGGTCTAAAACCTAAAATTCAAACATCTGATATCAAATTTTATCAGTCGTATATAGGGTTTGTCGAAAATAAATTTTTTGACAAACCTTGTAAAACCGACTGATAAAATTTGATATCGGGTGGTTGCATTTTCTGTTAGACCATGCAAACATTTTTATAAAGAATAACTTTTACATAAAATGAATAATAAAATAAGTTTTCTATATGCTGTCAACTTACATAGACATACTGTGTGTATGCAACTTATGACATATTGCTGAGATAATGTTTTTGTAAGAAAAGAGAAATTAATTATAAAAATTTACTTCATTTGTAGAGTCGTTATTTATGTTTTCATATTAAGTTTTTATTATAATTTTTTTTTATCAATTTAGAATTACAGTACTATTTTCAATTATTAATAAAATTTACGTGTTCATTTTAGATTAATCAATAAGAAAAATAAGCATTTTTGAAATATTAATAACCAAATACACATTAAACAACAAATAAATAAAAAAGCATTTAAAACACGTTGTCTGCCGAAGCAAATGTTGTGGTCGGGTCTGCTGAGCCGAAGTAGTTTTTCTAAAAATTTAAGTCTGTTTTTACGTTTTAAGTAGTTTAAGTAAATACTTAGGTAAACTACAATATCTAATAGATGCGCGAATAAAATACATACACGCGGCGCGGGATTAAATTATTACAAATATATGTGGCGTGCATATATTGTTAATAATATATTCAGGACATACACAGGGCCGCCGAGAGCCAGGCCGGGCCCCAGGACAATTCGCTAGATCGGACCATGTGACAAAAAAATCTTTAACCAAAAACTGTTCCTCTTCTACTGAAATATAATTTAAAAGGTCTTTACATCAAAAACTATTCTCCCTTTCAATTACTTCTTCTTCTAAACAAAAAAAAAGTCCTCACCCGAATAAAACTTCTCTAGGCTAAACTTTTAATTAATTTAAACTTAACTTCCCTCTCTCATCTTGTGTCGAATTTCTCATGCAGAACAAAAAAAAACTTTGCCGGGCCCCCTTACAGCGCTGCCGGGCCCCCATTTAAGCCCTTGCCCCGGGAATTAGTCCCGGCTACCCCCCCCCCCCCTCTAGTCGGCCCTGGACATACATTAGTGCGTAATTGTTCAATATATCAATTTGTGTTATGGACACGTAAATAATTTCTAAATAAAAAGTTATATGAATTTCAAAAATGGGTATTTTAAAGATATTTTTAGACATACAGTGTTTTGCGTTTTTGTCTGACAAATAAAAAGGTATATTTTTTAAATAAAAAACCCTGTATTTTACTTCAGTTTTAGAATGCTGCATGCAATGCTGTAATACTGCATTTAACCCTAGAACTTTATTAACAAATATTGCAGGGTTGCCAATAAATTAATTTTTTTATGAAATTAGAGAATGATGCAGACCCTAAATTAAATTATAATTTAATTTAAAAAAATAGTAATAAGATACTAAGCTAACGAATAGTGGTGATAGAACTGGATTATTTTATACAGAGTGTTTTGAAAAACAAGTCTTAAATATGGCTAATTCCAAGTTAAATTTATTTAATTTTTTCAAATGCCACACGCTGTATGTTATTTAAACATACAATTCCTATAAATTTACATATCCAACGATACCAATATGATAGTCAATAACACATGAGTTTTATAATAGTAAATACGAAAAAAAAATAATATTAAAGTTGTATGACCATATTTAACAATTATTCATAAATATGCAGTGTGCATTTTTAAAGCAAAACGCCCTGCAGGTTGTTATACATATTTGATTGTTTTTACATCGTCGAACAATATTTTCAATTTGATTCATTTGATATGTTGTATATAGAATGTGTCAAAATTTGAGGTTACGATTTTCTCAATTTTTTAAATGTGATACTCTCTATGTTATACCACCAATTAATTAATACAGTGAATTCCATTGAAACAATTAAAAAAATCGTAACCTCGCGCTTTGATACACCCTACATATAACATAGCAAATGAATGAAGTCAATTAAAATTATTTGACAACCTGAAAACAATCAAATATGTATAACTACCTGCAGGGTGTTATTCTCTAACATGTTGGTATTGTTGAACAGGCAAATTTATAAGGAATTGTATGCTAAAATATGTTGCCTTTGAAAAAATTAAGTAAATTAAACCTCAAAGTAGCCATATATAAGACAAGTTTCAAAACACTCGGTATAAAAGAATCCAGCACTATCAACACTATTTGTTATCTTAATGTGCTACAAGTCTGTATATTAAACAATTTTGAAATTAATGTAATCCTACCCAAATTATGATAATTTAATTTGGGGTCTGCATATCATTCTCTAATTTCATAAAAATTTAATTGCTTGGCAAACCTGTAATAGTTTTTTTAAACATTCTAGGCTTGAATACAGTATTACCAAATCATTCTAAAACTGAAATAAAATACATGTTGTTCTATTTAAAAAATATGCCAGGCAAAAATATAACACCCTGTATATCCAAAAATATTTTTAAAATATGTATTTTCTAAATCCATATAACTTTTCTTTGAAACATGTTTGCGTGTCTTTAACACAATTTAAAATATTGAACAATTACGCACTAATGGGACATACACAAGGGTACATATACACATAGCAGTCAACGTGTTAACTCAGAAATAAAGTTCCTTATAAAGATAAAATAACATTCATTAGAAGAAAGCAAGTCCCGCAAATATTACGTGCGTACCATACAGTGATGCCAGGTCATTCGGATTCAAATTACATCTCAATGCAATAAAGTTCCTCTCCCGCATTTCACATTTCACCCACTTTAAAATTAAATTCGCCTGAGAAAAA